GCAACATTTGAAGAAGCAAGGGCAAGTATCATAACTATAAACTGAAATGCTGTGGTTTAATTCAACCTATCTAATTTGATATTTTCATTTGTTTATTCGTTTAGCAAGTCTGCAAGCAAAAGTCTGCTAACCTTTTGTACGTTGACGACAATGCAGAAAACTCCTTCATCGTAAGAATGCTCGGTCGTTTTAAATGTGAGAAATATATTTTATTTAATTTAACATCAATAATCATAGCTTTTTAAATATTTGTCTTCTCATAGTTTCCAGTAAATACACGTTAACCGTTTTATTATAAATTGAAAGACGTAAACTTTCATGTTCAAGTATGTAATTGATTAAAAATCATGAATATTTGATCCATGTCATATTATTATATTCGAATAGATCAAAAGAAGACGTTTAGATAGAAAACATCACATGGTAAATTAAGCGGTTACAAATCTGCGAACATTAACTAAACTGTCATCAGATATTTAGATTTATAATAGGATTAATTAATCAATGAATTAATAGCAATTAATTAATGGTTTTCAGGATTCAACTGCAGACAGTTTATAGAATATATTAATATATTATTAAGTATAATTGTTCAATGGTAACAATTGCATGTATTATGAAATAGCCTTGTGGTTAAGGTGTCTGCCTTTAAACTTATGAATCATGGGTTCGAGTCCTACTGGGGTCACGACCATGATTTCTCATAATGACACCATTACTGGTTAGTTCCAGGAAGCGGACTCGAAATTAATTGATATAAATTACAATCGAGCTAAAATAAATATGTTTAAACTAATAAGCTAACAGTTTTTGGTTGAATGGATTAACCGACAAGAGTACAGAAGGGAATTGGAAATGGATAGACTCAAATGCTCCTGCAAGGTTTATCAAATGGGCACCCGGTGAGTGAAATTTACCGAGTAATTATTATTTTCTACAGTAAAATGTATGATTTGACTCGGATAAAAGGTTTCCATTTTTTTAATGCTGAATTACTCATACAACGATTGTTTTTATTTCTAAGACATTACTTGTTACGAAGCAATACAAAGTCTGATATAATTACAACGATTTTTTTTTAATACTTGACCCTATAGAGGAATAATTATCTAAACACATTTAGGTCAGCCACAGGGTCGCATCAAAGAAAATTGTGTTGTGTTTGTCGAACGTGACTCATGTCAGTGGCATGACGTAATCTGTGCAGACAAAAATTCATTCATTTGCAAAACGAGGTACTAAGAAAGTGAGTCTTAACACGCCAAATTAAAATAGAGTTTACATAACTGAATTATTGGAAACAGAAAAATAAATAATACACAAAAAATAACTTTATATAGAGATTGTTGTCTGAATACAGACTTGGGTTTTCTAGAATGTTTTCTGGAATGTACAAAAAATGAATCTTTCGTTATGTTTAAAATTTTTGAAAACCGCTTCTTGATTTGATAATTTGATATATATTTTTAAATAAATTATTAGATGGTAAAAAATATTTACATCTCAAAACATTTGATCCAAAGAAGGATATTGATTCCAATAAAATTAAAGAGAATAAACGTTTATAAAAATATATAAAAAATTAACTACTCATTTATAAAAAAAAATCATACTGTATTTATATACATGACCATAATGACCAGAATAATATGATTGTTTTTTTTTTTTTTTTGTTGCTGTTTTTTTTGTTTTTTTCTTTTTTTTTGTTGTTGTTTTTTTTGTTGTTTTTTTTTTCAGAAAAAATCTCTTTGAATGTTGAGTGACTCTACATGCATTGGCGCCGGCTATTTATAAATATTACATACTTTAAATAGCTACATATGTTGAACGTATATATATGTACATACGTGATAAAATTAGTTACTGAAGATACATTTTATATAATGTTAAGCAGCAATTGATATCAATATTAACTTTTTTTATACAAAGGACATTAAATGTACTTAATATTTTTTGTGGCAATCTTTTTCTTTCACAAATTTTGCTGGATAACGAATGCGAAATCTTCTTTATTTGACTAGATTTGACGAGTCTGATTTAAAAGATAATAATTCTATATAAAATTCATTAATTTTTGTTGAAACCCGAGCGTCCAATTTGTTACTGACTTCTAAAAATACAGTTAGTTCGTAAGACCACCAGCAATATGATTGGTATTTCACGTATTTGTACTGTTTCCTCTTCAGATTGTTGTTCACACAGTTTACCTTTCCTGTATGTGTCGTGTTCTTGAAAATTGTTTTAAGAAAGATTTGAATAAAAAAGTCTATATAAAATATTTTGATTTTATGAATAAAAAGTCTGTATTAAATATTTTGATTTTATTAAACCTCTGCAACAATATAAGTCTTTTCCTTCCCATCCCCGCTAAAATCAATAGGAATAATATTGGATTTGTAATCCAGAGGGCAATTGTTCGATCCTCGAGCAAGGCAAAATTTCTCCATCACCATTCATCTCAGACATTACGTCTAATAGACATTTGTTTTTTCATTGCTGATTCAAAAATAACAGGGGATTAGTAATCGGTCACTTGCGGAGAATTGAACATTGCTTAGAAGTTATCCAGGAAAACCGATTGTGTGCCGATTGTGTGAACCAACCATCGAAAAATGACCGAAATATGTTAAAACCGGCGTGAAAAAAGTCAAACACACGATCAAAGCTACGAAATATTTCTTCATATGAAAACGAACATTTTTCATTTCCGTTGGTTTAATATCAAATATAAATATTGTAGACTATATAAAGATATTTCTACATTGCTAGAAAACTATTCTGTGGCTCGTACAATGTATGTGGCTCTCTTTATGTTCTTGAACTCAAGCCACTATTCAGTCATCGTTATTGGTTCAAATCCACTAGGGTTTTTTTTGTCAAGCGTACGCAAGGATGATGGTTATACTCAGGTGCTCGGTCGTGCCTGAAATATTGCACGGAAATGCGCCTAAGGTATTCCTAAACAATAAAATCTATAAAATCGCCATTGTGAATTTAAATTAAACTACAAGATTGTAAATGTAACATACAAGGGTCATTCATAATTTTTGTCTTAAAACAGATACATGTGCAGGAGAAAGAAGGAAATTAAGTTGGACAAATAATAAAAATAATAAGTCACGCGTTTTCAAGGGTTTAAAATCTCTTATTATATAGAATAAATTGTGTTGAAGTAGAACTTCATTGTACTAAAAAAAGTTGATAATGTTTCAAACATTTAACAAAATGTCACATTTGAATGCATAAAATCGTCATCATTTTAATTATTATTGTATTAAATAACATTAATTGTACTTATTAGAACCATTAAATTAGTCCGAAATAACATATCACTTGAAGTGTTTAAAAATGAAAAATAAAATTATCTGAATGTAATTAACATTTATACCATATGATAAAAGCTTAATATATTAGAATTACAACTGTCTTGTTTACAACCATGATTATAATTATCATTATTATTATTATTATCGTCGTCGTCGTCGTCATCATCATCATCATCATCATCATCATCATCATCATTATTATTATTATTATTATTATTATTTTTATTATTATTATTATTATTAGTAACATCTTTTTTGTTTGAAGATTTTTTCTCTCAACGTGCTCTTTGTGAGATTTTGTTTCGCCCTTTGTCCGTCAATGACTGTCTTTGAACTATATCTGATCTTTGATTTTAAATAAACTTCACAGCAATGGTCCTTGAGTGGCCCCTATCAATGTTGTTTAAACATTTCTGGTTGGTTGCATTAAAAGGTCACAAGACGAAATAACGTTATGAAACCAATATTTATTCAGACAATTATCATTTTAGGACATAAAACAAAAGTGCATTCAATATAAATGGTATATGTGAGCGATGAACAAAACTAAACAACAGATCAAAAATGAATGGACTATGTTAAAATTTTGACATTTGTTTTAAAATTGTTTTTCAATTTTGCAAAGAATGGAATACAAAAATTCAATCCTTTATTGAAATATAAAAAGTACTGAACAGAAGTAATACAATAACAATACAAAAATAGTTACTTCTAAATTAGACGGAATTATAGTTCTTTGGATTTATAATTGTGTTTACGTAAGAAACAAGAAATTAACGATTTACATGTATGTTCAACACCCTTTGTGACATTGTTTATACAAATGTCAATTACAAAATATACAAAAACTATCATGGCGTTTTTAAAGTATTACACTTCTAATTCATGAATCATGTACACCATATTCTTGCATATCAGACAGGATTATCTACCGTTTACAACCTATATAATACCCCCATGAAAGACAATCCGCATGCTTTAAATGACATCATTGCCGCGCGCCTTTTATGAATGAATTTATTGAATAGATTTTAGGATGAACCGTTATGAGTGAGGTTGTAAGTTCATACGCTGCTATAAGAAGAAAGTGCATAATGAGAATATCAGTTTCTGAAAATAATTGATATGTAATATGCAAGAAAAAGAATAAAACACCGGCTGTCGGTAAAGACGAAAAATCTATTTCGAGGTTAACTGTTTACAGCGGTAACGAGTAATCAAGAATCGTTGCTATCGATGAAACGTGGTTGAGGTCGTATGAACCGGAGCTGAAAAGACAATCAGCCAAGTGGCACACACCAAGCCTCCTTACTTAAAATCATCATAAGTCACAAGGTCACAAGGTCGATAGTGGTAAAACTATTAATGGGAAATACTTTGAGGAGGCAATCGCTGAGCCAGGTGATCCGTAGAAGAGACCCGAACCATTGGCAGCCGAAACAATACTTACATGACTACGTAACATAGCACGGTGTGCATTGCTAGAGCGTTATGATAGGGATTAAATCACTGTTTGTGATATATTATTTCTGTAACAACATACACGTACAAAAAAGGAAAAATCCTTTGAAATTATCAAGAGATTAGTATAATATCTTTAAAAAATTGAGTATTGTGTCAAAACAGCTTACTTTTATCTTCTTCAAATTCTGTTTTAAAAAGTTCGCATTTGACCAATTGTTAAAACAAAGTGTAAACTTGTAAACGATATGTGTACTAAATTTCAAATGACCTTCTGATTTACGCAGTTATATCAAGGTGCTCACGCAAAACAATTCACATAGCAAACAAGGATGTTAATGTAATAGTTGCGATAGTAATCTTCTACAAACGGAAAGTCTCGTTGCGAGCCATACTGACACCGTTGTGAAAAGTATTTAAGTCTGCTTTGAATATTGAAATTCATTAGAAAACACTAGTATCTAAACACTGACAGTGTAACGTGAAAGAAAATGAAAATATCTTTAGTAAGCGCGCTTTTGGTCTGCTGATATATGACAATTTCAAAAGCAAACGAGGTGTGCCTCAACGAGACGGAATATGATTTCTACATGATGGAGAACCTTGTGACGGACTTTAAAAAAAGACTCGAGTCTTTGAAAGAAAATTTCAAAGGTTTGATTTCTCATTGATATGAAATACGGTTTATATTCAAAACTTTTTTACTGCATGCCATATTTCTCTGCTTATTAATTCACCCGTTTTACATTCATGTTTACATACAAATTCAAATTGAATTAACCTTGATTTGCGCCTTATAACCTTTTAAACATTCGATTGTGTTATTTATAGAGATGGTACATGCAAAATGTCAAAAAACGAAATGTCCTCAAAGCTCTTGCGCTGATGATTGGGTTTCTTACAACGGATCTTGTTACCTCTTTGAAACTTTTCCAGCTCGTAATTTTGAAGAAGCAAGGGTGCGTAAGAACTTATAACTATAACTGATCATTAGATTTGGATGTAACTTATTTTTTCAAAAATCTATTTTAGTTTATACACGATACAAGTATAGAATAAAATACATAAGTAATTCTTTTTCATGTTTATTTGTATGATTTAAGCATTTGACGAGATTATTTACTTATTTTATTTCATTTACTACATATTTTTTATGTGCTGTTGAAATTTTCCGATCCTAATTCATTCTTTAAACTTATACAATAATATTTTAAAAGTATCAAAGTAATGAAATTAAGATAAAATCAGGAATAAAATAAAACTAGCAACTGTATTATTGTACAGCAATATTTGTTGTATTAGTTTTTTTGGATCACTTAAAAAGGGGACCAAATAGATATTGTTTACCTAAATATGCATTGGTCAGAAAGATATGTTCGTTTTCGGTTAAATATATAAAAAATAAAAAGCTATAAAGCTGGAAATCTTCGCATTATAATTTACAAAATGCATTGGTAGTTTTCAAGCGTCATAAGAGAGAACAAATATTTAAAGTTTTACTTTTTCAAAAGTTGATTTCTGTGTTACTAAATTGACTTAAGTTCTTACGATTTTGAAATAATGATTTTTGCGACGGACCCGCCCTCAGGCGCGTTCAGAGCTAAGTCATCTACACATAGGATTTCGTTGGCTACACTCGCGCAATGTGTCCTAAACCAATTAACAGCCCAAGAAATAGTACATGAATTTGATCCTTCAAAACTCCCATACTTTGTCTGGATATCTTAATGTCTTCCATATTTAGCCTTTTCAATTTCAAATTAAGTTATCCAAGTTAAAATATGAACGTATATTATTGATAAAAACGTTGTAGTCCCGTAGTATTATTGCGCAATATGCAAATTACTGCTGAAACGATTTACCGCTGTCGAAAAAGTAGGACAGCAAATTATACTACAATAAAAGTGTAACCTCTGAGTTCCAAGACATTATTAGTAGGAAATAAATATTTCTACATTATACAAAACATTATTATTAACAAATCAAAAGTTTTTCGTGACTCTAGGATAACTCGCGCATTAATAAAAGAAGAACTATTTTCGTGACTCATACCGCAGGTTTAAATAGCTGAATATTCAGCAGTTATTAATATATTAGATACAGTACAATGGCTAGTATAAATATCTATATTTGAAAATGCATGTAAGACACTTTACCGCCATGTAGTCTTTCATGGTAAGGAAGTTATAATATCAGTTCTACTTCAATCCGATTCTTGTGGTTTGTTTACATATTTTACTAGGTCATGATATGAGTTAACCTTCGCTATTCTAAAAATAGATTCTGCTTCACCTGTTCTGATTTTTGGACAGGCGATTAGGAAGTACACATTAAAAATGTAATTAATAAACCAGCGGATTGTAATGCAATACTTTTAGAAATGCTATACAATTGTAAGAAGCAAACAAGTTGAAAATGGAATTTAGTGTGAAGTTGAAAAGGACAACTATAAACACTGTAGTGCTTAAGTGACATTTAAATTAAAATAAAAACGATGTGCTCTGGCCTCTACATCTTTACCTTGTAAATAAAAAAATCTAAGAAATACACTATTAATTGCTGATGATTTTAACCAATTTTTTTTAATGAGACATATCCAAGAGAAATAAAAATACAAATGACTTATATTTTATTGTCTGTATGCCCACTATGATATAACACGAAGCAATTCTAAATAGCATTCTCAAATGTATAATATATTATGTTTGAAGTTTATTTGCCTGGATTTATTCTAGAAATATTTCGTTGATAGTTTTTTTTCTATTTACATATCATTTCTTAGAATAAATCGATAAGGACACTGATTTACAAGTTTGACCAGAGTTTTTAGGCATAAATTTCATTCTGCATTTAAGTGCTTGAAAGTAGAAAATCTGAATTATATCAATTTGGGACACAAAATATATTGCTCTACGAATCTCGAACTTGTATGGAACAAATTTTCTCTGTTAAAATTTGTGTTTTGTTTTTGTTTTGTTTTTTTTTTCTAAAAGAAGCCTTAATGTCTCTCCGGTTGCATGTCCGTCGCATTCAGTGCTGCAGCACTTTGATTATATAGGCAATCGATGTTGATACTTCTTTTTGATATGACTGTCATTGAATATAATTTATATGCATAAATGCACAAACTTATTTGGACTTACTACACAGTGACGTATTGTATTTATTTGGTACATAATTTAAAAGCTTGCAGAAAGTAATTTATTTTTTTTATTGAACATATATGTCCATTTTTTTACAATTATATAATTTTATATTAGTAAATAAATATTATTGTGTACTTTAAAGGAAAAAATAGGCCGGTTCCTAAAGGAATAGTAAGCATGTGTGAAATTCTACCCTTATTGTTAAAAAAAAGAGTCTATCAAATATCCTTTCCTTCATTTTTACAATAATTTAGTCACTCATGTAAAACGATTTAAGTTATATGCCTAGCCAAATCTAAGCAATGTATCCGTTTTTTGTAAACACTTGGTTATGCAGAAATATTCAATAAAAGTTTGATGAAAATGTAACGATTGTCATATCAAATGAATTAAAATTTTATACGTGTAAACCTTTCTTTTCTTCTCAATTCGCTGACAAAAATGAGTGAACGTATCACCTTATTAGCTGTAGATCATTTCATACTGATAAAATTGTAACAATTTGAGGAGTGGGTATGGGCAACAGTGACTCTGAATATGATTTTCATATTGATGGCAGCTGTTTTAAGCTCATAAATAATCTAAAAGTATCTAAATGTCTGAACACAACAGGAAACGTCCCAAAATGCATCATATTCACCATCATTATGAGGCGACTGTACCTCTCTTTCTGGACAGGTTTCTCAGCCTTAGAACTCATTCAAAAAAGTCTCGTGTTATTTAATTCCATATAAAACATCTAATGCATACACTTGCCCCGGTATAACATTTGAAGATATTGATATTTCACAGTTACTGTTAGTGTTTTAACTGCTAACAGTCCATCTATTTCATTGAATTTATTGTTTGTTATGGAACACATATCCACTGTTAGAATACGGTATGAATTTGGTTTGCTGATTTCAAAATTTTTTATCAAACTATGGTTTTGTGTGCATGTTTTTCATCATCACAGATCAATGTTATTAAATGCTCATTTCCGGTCATTTTCGTTATCATCACGAAGAATGTTTAACACTCGAGAACAAAAAAAGTTTCAAATTACAAAACATGAATGGGCAACTGTAGAACTGAAGGAACTTTAGAAGGGTGAAATAGTATTTCGATTGCTTTTCCAATCATAGTTCATATTTTAACAATAACTCAAAATTGTAAAACCTACCGTTAAATTTTATCTTCATATAGGAGTTATTCGAACATATGTCTTACCGGAAATTAACTTTTCTTTTTAACCGATGCAAATTTCCATGAATCATACGAAGTTGGTCCCCCGTGATTTTCTAAGTTAAGCTCTTATATACAGATATGGAATTTGATATATGCCAAATCATTTTTGTTAGGCGTTCTGCAAACAAAGAGAGTCTGAATTGTTGTATGTACAAGATGCGGCGGAAAATGCGTTTATAGTCAGAATGCTGGGCCGCTTGAAATGTAAGTTTATCTTCTAATTGGCATCGTGAAGAAATAAAAATATGTAAAATTAATTTTGCCATCACGTATATATGATGTCGTATTATAACTATTCTGTTAGCCAGATGGTTCTGCGACAATCTATTTGATATATTTTGAGACCTCCTCGTATAATCTGCTTTAAATGTGAATTGTTCATATTTGTTAACAATAAAAACACTATTTGGACACCTTCTTCATTTCAAAGCTAGTAATTATGGTGAAGAAATAATAATAATAATGATTTATGAATAATGATAATGAACCGATTGTGCCAATTAATTTGGATTTTCTAATTTAACTTGACTTTTATGATTTATGATGAAATCAATGAAAAATGACAATTCTTGTCTGTTGAAAAAGTACTAATATGCATACAACGTTCTACGTTCTAACAAATTTGAAATAGTATAACTTATATTACTCATGCTGTAGCAAGTGCGCATTGGCTATTGGGATTGACTGACCAAGGCTCTGAAGGAAAGTGGAAATGGATCGACACAAGTGCTCCAGCGACATTTATCAAATGGGCTCCCGGTATGTGTAAAAGTACAAAACTTGTTTTGGAATGATAAAATGCTATATTGCAGACAAGAGGTTTTTGTTATTTTTTTGTTGTTGTTTCATAAAATGAATCGCGTTTATATTTTAACACTTGCCGTTTGTCAACATATCTTTTTCAAATATAGTATTTATTTTGTTTAGATATACTTTATGTATAGGTTAGAGTGCATATTAGGTGTTCTTCGTAAATAAGAAAGCTAAAAAGGAGCGGAGCTTGCGAAGCGACTGTAGCTTTCTTATTTACGAAGAACATCCAATATGCACTCTAACCGGCTTAGTGCTCCGCCCACTTGCGTTTTATAATATAAAACGTCTAGTTTATATAAAATCTGTTCTATTATGATTTGTAACCGGAAAATTTGAAAAATCCTCGTCGGTGATTGGCTTGAAAAATGGCGAGCCCTTAATATATTTAACATTATATTATATAGTATTATTACGGAAACTGTTGCATTTGAAATATAATGGCATTGCAACTATCCAATTATTTCTTTGGTATATATAAATAACACATAGGTTCAAGGATAGCATTAAAAATAATTTGCTTTTGATATAATTATAATTTGTAAATGCACATGAATACTGATTAACATAATACAGCTACAAATCAGAAGGTTTTATATCATTATAAAATGAATGTCTCAGGTCAACCGGAAGGTCGCACAATACAGAATTGCGTAGTGTTCAGCATTGCCGACTCAAATCGTTGGCATGACGCAGAATGTACTAAGAAATATTCAGTTATCTGCAAAAAAGGTATTCTGTCACTTTCAGAACTATCATCATACATATCTTAACAAATATGATATCTTTTTAACTGATGTCAAAACAGTACTTGTAATACATTTATTTTGGTATAAACACAATGATTCTTGAAAAATACGAATTGTTTTCATACTTACAGTCGTATAATACTTTATAAATAGTAACTTTGAATAATTTAATTTTATTGAAGTTTTCAGCACACACACAGGCTTTTTGTTATAATTTGGTCATATATTTTGAGATACGTATGCTCATATATTTTATAAATGTTTCATTTTTTATTTTATTGCAGTAAAATAGACAGCAGGAAGACAACAACATATATTTGTTCATTGACGTATCTATCGTTATTTCCGTTATGTTACTAAAGACACTTTCACACAATATTATGTAATGAATGGCGACGAGCAAAACATTTGTCCGATCTTATACTACTTTATCATTATTATAGATATGGAGTAATTTCTCCGTCACTTTCTTTCTTTTTTGTTGCGAATTCCAAAACGATGCTCAATGACAATATATAGTAGAACATTTGTTGTTTGTTTTTACGATATTAAAGTTAAAGCTATGACGTATGATGTTGTTCTTTATGACTATATTACACATATAGTGAACCAAAAAAGAAACTTTCGCAAAGTATGTGCCAGTTGTTCAAGTGTACCACTTAGATGTACACGCTTATATACATGTATTAGCTTGTAAAACTCGTTTTGTTTGCAAAATCGATCAGCTAATCCCCGTATAAAAGCCCGATATATTTATTCAACGTAAAAATCGAGTTTCAAAAGGATTGAAAAACTGTACTAACCTATCCACATTCAAACTTGGAGAAAGTTTCTTTTTTGTTTCAGTATATTTTCCATAGATATCATGTATATATATGTGTGTATGTTTAAAAAAAACTTTCTACCAATTTCGGGTGTATGTGTTATTTTCAGAATCGTCTTGCACTATTCACAATGATTTATTTCTGTTATATGTGTACAATGATGTTCTCTCGTATCATTCTGACCACAACATTATGAAATTTATAATTTTGGTTTTGCATTGAGAATGATGATTTCATCGTCTTGTTATGCGGATAACATTTTATTCTAAATGGATAATAAGTAAATAGTGTAATTTGTAAAGTGTTTCGTATATGCTTTTATTTTATTAAACACACACAAAAACTGTACGTTATTTTAAATTATAAATAAGATTAATCTAAATCTAAATAACTTATCTATCAGAAATTTAAAAACATTCTTTAGAAAATTAAAAAAAAAGATTTCTTTATTTGAGATAAAAACGTTTAGTGCTAGTTTCTTGATGAATTGAGAGCTGTCAAGAACTAATCTTAATCACGCTCTAAACGTCCCCGATCGTGTGCCTTTCTTGTTGACGAAATACATATAGTTTCTTAAGATCTTGTTTTTGTATTTAAACTTACTGTGGTCTTCATGCCGACCTACACAATATATCTACCGTCAATCCAAAGTAATTTTAGGAATTTCTGAGGGTTACCTTTTGGCTAAGGCACAGTTACTGGATATTTCTTTTAGTTTATAGATCCTCAATGTAAATCATGGTTGACCGATTGATTATCTAATCTAAATTCAAACATTTTGTGTGCAAGTAACTTCAGTTAATTCAACACAGCAGTCATCTTGAAAGACACTCTTAGTTGATTACGTGATTTTGCAGTGCACTCATTCACTTGCCCATATCGGAACATCCTCGACTATTATACATAATGACCTCGGACAAATTAAGGATTGAAAGTAGTTTCACAACGTGGTTATAGATGTAAATAAAAACAGAGCGTGTAATCTTTGATAATGTACAACGAATGTATACATAGAAAATTTATGATTGAAAATGATAACCAATCTAAAAATGCCCATTGATGTAGAATTTTAAACAAATACGAATTATACCAACCGGTAGACATTTTGTACTTTCGATTTCTACAACCATTATAATAAGTATATAAATTGCGTAAATTTATTTTTATATTTTTTAATCTACTTAATTTAGATGGACTTTTACTACATATATTAGAATAAACATAGTCAACAACTCAAAGCATTAACTCACTTTTTTGTTTACATGTCTAGTTTCTTAGCGTAGGTTAAACCGAAATACCAAATCTGTTCTGTGTAGTCATACTATTGTGATCGAGGTCCTTATCCGAAGACTGACGGAAAGGGCCGAAAAGTTGCGACTGTCACTCGCCCCTTATAGAAAAAAGGCCGGCGAAAATTAAATTGCACAATGACATAGATCATTCAACCATAGCATAACATGTTAAGATTAGGCTTAAAAATAAACAAAAGATCTTACAAAAAAACAGTTTTAAGTAACTTAAAGACGCATTGTGATTTAATGATACTTGATGAGACTTATTTCCTTATTTATATATACTTTTTCAAGAAAATTGTTCCGAGTTATTCTGAACAAATGCGATTTCAAAATAACCCTCCTGGTGTTATTGGCGATTAAATTTTTATCTCCCGCCGAAAGGCGGCGGGGGATATAGAAATAGTCTCTGTCCGTCTGTCCTTCCGTCCTTCCGTCCGTCCGTCCATCCATCCGTCCGTCCGTCCGTCCGTCCGACATTTTGTCCGGAGCATATCTCAAAAAGTATTTGAGGTATTAACTTGAAACTTCATAGGTGGATAGACCTCATTGAGGAGGAGTGCAGTGCACAAGAATGATAACTCTACTCTAATTTTTGAGTTATCGCCCTTTGTTATTTTTCAAAATTAATTATTGTCCAGAGCATAACTCAAAAAGCCTTTCAGATATTAACATGAAACTTCATAGGTGGATAGATCTCACTCAGGAGGCGTGCAGTGCACAAAAATGATAACTTTACCTTTCATATTTTTTGAGTTATTGCCCTTTGTTATTTTTAATACTTAAATTTTCACCTGAGTGGAGCATAACTCAAAAGTGTTTGAGATGTCAACATGAAATGTCATAGGTGGATAGATCTTATTGAGGAGGAATGCTGTGCACAAGAATAATAACTCTTCCCTATAAAATATTTGAGTTATTGCCCTTTTTTTTTTCATACTATTTTGTCCGGAGTAGGGTGCAGCACACAAGAATGATAACCTACCTTGCATTATTTTTTCAGTTATTGCCCTTTGTTATTTTCAGCCATTAGTATTCATATAGGTTTCAAATCTGTAATCACCTCAGCCATCAGTTTTCATTACCAAAAGGCCTCTTAAAATTGTTTTATCTGCTCTACTACATATACATTCTTCCAATGAGCAAACCCATTCGGCGGGGGATGGCCATGTTGACATGGCTCTTGTTTTACTTTAAATTGATGAACGTACAGTATATAGATTTTACTTTATTTATTGTATGTATGAATATTACCAATTAAAACAATATAGTTTCTTATCTCTACCCTCATTCTGTCCCATTTAATTATTCTAAAAACAGTAACAAAAATATAATGGCTTTTTGCAAGCTTATTCAATCATATGGGATACTTGGAAAAAACTTATACTCAATTTCCATAAATAGTTCTCATAGAAAGTAACCGTGTGTTAATGGTTGGGGGTACCAATTCTAAAATATTTTATCAAATAAATAGTTTTCTTTGATTTATTTCAATCAATTATACTCGAAAAAAGATTCGAAAACATTTATCATATACAGATAAATTTATCCAACAATAATCTGTTGCTGATTATGGGTCCTTCCTGTACAGTTTGTATTGCAATAATCCTCCCGACAGCATTCTGTGTAGACTGGACCTGACCTCTGGTTGAAAGGGTTCAAACTTCTGTGTTCTATAGCACAATCCTGAAATAATATATTATGTATTTTAAAAAAGAACCTGTTTTATAAATAAAATATCAGAACGATAGAAAAATCTTATTATAAGCTGATATATACTTTTTCCTTGTGTCAAAAGTAGAGGATAAATGCGCGACTAATCTTCCTACATGACGTTATTTGTAATATCTTACGGAAAGAGACGGAATTTACTCAGCTGTTTAATTATTGTTTTTGACATTTTTTTGTTCAAAGGATTGATTCATACTGGTGAGAATAAGAGAATATGATTCTTTTAGATAATTAATAAAGTAACAAGTGGAAGCAGCCCAAATACAGTGTTTATATCGGCTTGATACTGTAATAATATACATATACTCCCCGTCTCACAAATACAAAATGTCTCTACATACATTGACTGACGCGCATCCAAGATGAAATATTGAATTCTCTCCCCACGGAAACTCTTCGATGCGGCATACCTAAGCACAGAAAATGAAGAAATTTCAAGTAGTTTACCATATCATATCGAATGCAAACTTTTTATCAAGTAATATGATCTGAACATGAATTAAAGTGTGCTTATTAATGTAACAATGACGGTTAAAATATACGCCTTACATTACTGTATGAAGCTGCTGTTACTTGATTAAATTTTATTTTACTTTAAAATGTATACCAAGTTCATATTATATTAATTAACCTCTTATTATTTGATAATAAAACTTGGGAATAAATGTAAGCAAACCTCATTTGAGGAGCTGATAGTTATTTTTTGTCACACTCTTTTGGGTCACTCACGTGCGAACAGTCAAGACAAAGAGGGCCTCGTGATTGCTTTGGCGGGAAACCTGTTATAGTAACGTAAGGTCATATTATTTGACATGTTAATACAAAATATTGTATTTTGTGAACTGTAACTAACTAAAGTTACCTAAACTAAAAAATGTCAATTCAGTGCAAGTAGATATTTTTGGAATTTGGAATTTCAATGGCCTGGTAGTGTTGGTAGTAAAATATTCAGTTACAAATAGATGGCTATTACTAGGTACTAGGTGTGATTTATATTAATTCAATGAAAACATTTAATGACTCATTTTGGCTTTAATGTTCGTAAAGAAGATGACTTCTTTTTTATTTTATTTTTAAAAATGCTTCACAGCGTGTAATTTTAACAATAACTGAAGCACATTGGATACAAACCCCTAAAAGATCAATTTTGTTAAACATTGCGCATCATCAGATAATTTTTGTACACAACTGTTTGAACTGTTCTAATAGCGAATTGATTTGTTGTTTAACAGTGTCCTTTTTTTTAATTGGAATAAATCTAAAAAAAAAATAAATAAATAATAGGTCCTCTGCAACGTCAAAAAATTCAATATCTATTTTTACCTGATAGTCTATACATCCGGATCTGTAATGAGTGTGTCCATTTAAATTTGTAAAACTCTGAACATAACATGTCTGAAATTTATAGAAAAGAAAGAACAACTATCCGACGCATAATATACAATTAGGTAGCTGTCTTAGCTATTTGTATCATTTTCAATGATTGATTCTTACATTTATTCTTCGAGTGCTTATGTCTGATATATTTAAAAAGAAAACAAGTGCAAAGACAGTGACAATTATTTAACTAAAATAACCGCGAATCATAGACAACGTCCTTCTCTAAATATTTCAGGCAACGTAGTGACTGGTTGCCAGAAACACATAAATGTTAACGCCCTCATTGTTTCAAATAATAAAAGTAAGTATTATAATCCGAATTTTCATTTTTTTTTTTTCAATTTAAATTCCCTAGATATTCATTCTTGTGAATGGAAGGTTTTCAGTCATTCTTTTACCTGATTATCAGAACATGCCATAATTTTGTCACAGTAAGAAAGTACGGAAGTGTAATCACAAGAAAAACATTTGGGTGTAGCTGAAAGATATAAATACACCGAAAATCTATCCATGAATTACTTTGCATAAAAAAATTCTCGTATGGCAATAAAATTCATCACTCATAACACATGGTAAAAGAAGAGGCAACTTTGTCTCCATCTGGAGTTTTTTATGTTTTGTGTCATACAGAAACACAGGTCATAAAACCACGGTTGGACCGTGTTATTGCTTTATTAAAAACAAACATTTTCGACCGTTATTTTGCTGTTGTCTGTCTGTTTGCATCCTTTACAGTCCTTTTTTCCTCTTTTTGACAGTGTTTGCTGAAATGAGGAATATTGTATTTGTAGGAGGGCTGATTGATAAGCTCGAGGAATTTTGCATAAATATTTTATTTTCTTATATTTCCTCTTTTTATTTACAGTTATTATGTATTAACGTAATACGTATACATTGTGTAAATATGAAAGAAAGTTCTAAATAAACACCCAAAATATGTAGAACCATAGTAACTTATGTCTTGTTTGTTGCCGGGCTCCATTTTTCACCGTTAATATTCTTCTATAA